CATTGCTACCGAAAAAAATAAGTTTGACAGAACGAGAATACTGCACTTAAGTGCTGTTGGTAGCCTCAAATGATATCGGAGCACGATACTATGTAGGTAGCATGGCCAATCTGGGAAAGAGGATGCAGATGAGGGGAAACAACTAGATACGATACTGCTATGTGTAAATGCAAGCAATATTAGAGAATGGGATAGGGAACTTCGCCAGCAAAGGGAATAGACCCTGCCACCTCTAAAATTTAATGGAGTAGGGATTTTGTTATTAAAAGCTTTATTTTATCTCTTTATACAAAGAGTGGCTTGTGTGGTCCGCTAATGTGTGCCTTCGGACTTGGGGCCTTATTGGTGTTCTCTCGTCTTGGTCGAGCGGATGGGCTTGAGGTTCGTCCCTATGTATTGGTGCGGGTTCTTTTTTATGAAATTCGCTATTCAAAAGCATTGAAAGGTGCTGCCTCCACAACATTGGTTTTTCCGTGGCAATTAATCGTGAAATTACCTACACAAGTATCCAGTATAAGGTCAAGCATATAGAGTGAAAATTTTAAATCCATTAATAGCTCAGATAGTAAATGGGAAATTTCGAAAAGACCCCAAAAAATTCACCTCTTTCTCAACTTAAATACAAATTTCTACAGATAAGACTGTGAAGCGCAGAAAAAATTATTAAAATTTCTGAGCGAAATGAAAGCTTAAGACATATCGCCACCGTTTTCAAAAGAGTCACAACTCAAAATAATACGTACGTCAAAAAATGCCAAAAACTATTTCATAGCACATGCTAATCATATGGGCAAGGGCGCCTTTAAGTTAGGTTTTTTTTAACAAATTATAACACAAATTTGCTCAAACTTTTACTGAAAGCTAAATAAAACCTCTGTATAAATTTTTACTGCATAATTTCAAAAATGCTAGATTTTGAGCGTGACTCTTTTGAAGACGGTGTGCGATATATAGTAAATTTCCATGGGAAATATTATCGTAGAATATTTTAACCCATTACCATTACTTCAGGAAACCCCACAAAAAGCAAACTTGGAAGTTCATAAGAGGATTGATATAATCTAGAAAATTAGTCTTCGCAAAATTTTACTAGGGGGATCTTCTCAGGCAAAAACTTCATTCCACCGACAAAAGTGATGAATACGGCGATGAAGATGAAGCTGAAGAGGAAGTTAGCGATGACGATAAACACACAAAAGCAAAGCCGAAATCAAAGATAAATACAAAGGCGAGGAGAAATAAAAAAGGACAGCGCCGAAGACAAAGAAAAGTCGAGGTAAAGGCAATGACTAAGAAAAAGATAAATATGAGGAAACAGTTAAAAGCAAAGATAAAGGCACAGACACAAATAAAGACAAACAAAAGCGTATAGGTTGGAACAAATTAAGATAAAGAGTCAATGGTAAAGATAAAACCTTTTCTGCCATGAAAAATAGCTTCCTATAAAATTTCAATCACCGTTCGCCATTAAAACGGGGACCTTCGGGGTAAAACTTTGCGGGACAACTTCTCTTATCTCACAACAATTCAATTCACTTCACCTAAATTCAACTCACCTTATCTTACCCCATTCCAAATCACCTAAACTCACCTTAACAGTTGCAAAGCCGCTATGTAATATACAAAATTTCACTCAGCCGCAAATAATAACACTGTGAGTCAAATTTCAAAATTTGAAATGACAAAAAAAAATTTCCTTTAAGTCGCTTTTCTAGATATGGTAATTTTTATTTAAACTTGCGTTTTGAAAGGAAAAAATGAAAATTCGCGACGAAGAAAATTGATTGATATACAAAATTGCAAATGGTCAAATGAAAATGTGTAATAATTTCTTTCTTATGATACTTATGTACTATATATGTACATTGTATGACAAGGAAAGAATGTTACTCATACGTACGGTGACCGGACAAAAATCGAATCCGAACAAACAATTTTGATTTTAAAGACATAACATCTTTAAATACACTTTTTTTTAAGGCAAAACAAAGAGAAAAAAAAATTCAAAATCATCACAAAAATTTAATGAAAATAGGGAAAAGACATAGGTATAAGCAAGTTTTGGCATATTTTTTTTTTTGTTTACAAAGTTTTAATATTTTTTATAAAAATATAGTTTACTATCTAAAAACCGTGTAAATCAAAATATCAAATATGTATTGTAGAACATTTACAAAAATTCTACGGATTTTAACAAATTTTAATCTTTTTAATCAGGTTTTTAGAATTTTTTTGAGCATGCAGTTTTGTATCCCATTAAATTTTAGTATAATAAAAAGCCAGTTCGACGTAGCTGGGACTTACAGTGGGTTTTAGGAAATTTACGAATGGTCACCGTACTCATACCCCATATACATATGAACTACTTATAAAATAAAAGCATAAATATGGATGGAAACATTTTGTAAGTAGTTATATTTACTTAAGTCTTTATACCTTTATTGTCAATAAATTACCTTCGTTGATAGCTTGATGTTTTCGTAAAAATAAAAATTTGTAAAAAAATCAGAAGAATTTACAAAAAATCATAAATTTTTAATTTGTACCTGAGATAATGAGTGGTCAAATGGAAATGCGCAAAGATTTTTTGTATGAAATATGAGCAAAAAAGCGTGTTACTCAGGTGTACGAGGCGTATGACTAACATTATTACCTGCTCATTTCTTTTACAAAATAAATAATATAAAAAAAACTTTTTAATATACAACGCTTTTATAAATGGACTAAAAAGTAGAAAATAATACTTCTCAGTCCCATAGAATTTGTTTTGATAACTTTTGATTTTGAAATTTTAGCAAAAGTCATTATAAACAATCTATGAAATTGAAAATGAAAAGCGTGGGGCGCATGTAATACACTTGAATTGATATGAAAAGTAATATATGAATGTATGTATGTGGGTATATGAATAACGACCGCTTAAAATCGATTTCAAAGTTCTACTTTCGCTGTAGAAATTTTAGGTCTACGTTATGTAGTTTGACTATTGTCAATTAAATCGAATGCTTTGTATTGCATGCGCTCCACGTTTTTCATTTTCAATTTCATAGATTGTTTATAATGACTTTTGCTAAAATTTCAAAATCAAAAGTTATCAAAACAAATTCTATGGGACTGAGAAGTATTATTTTCTACTTTTTAGTCCATTTATAAAAGCGTTGTATATTAAAAAGTTTTTTTTATATTATTTATTTTCTACTTTTTAGTCCTGTCTGAATAAAATTTTGCAATAGATATTAAAATAATTCAACGATATTAATAGAAAGGTGCACACACATGCATTTACATATGTATGTACATACAAACGAGCACCAATTAATTTTATTTAAAGAAATGGCGTGTCGTCTATTTCCGCCGATATGCGTGTATAAACCCTCCTCAAAGTCTAGCCAAAAAGCCAGCAACTCACACAACAGGTTCCCCAGAGCAATTCGCTCGAGAAAGTGGTACCCGGTACACGTAATACGCGGCACACAGCACAACAATCCGCCAAAACAGGCAACCCGGCCCAAAATTACCACCGTAGAAGGCAGAAACCCCGAGCGGCAGTGCAGGAGCCCAAGAATTACCCTTAAAACGGCCACAGGAGCTTAAAAAGACCAACTGGTCCCCAACTGGTCCGAAGGTAAGTAGTTTCGGACTAGTCCCAAACTGGTTCCCAACTGGTTCCCGGACTGGTCCCCGACTGGTTACCAACTGGTCCCACGAACTAGTTACCAACTGGTCCCAAAGTGGTTACCAACTGGTCCACCTATACCTCAAGTGGTCCACAAGTCACTTCACTTACAAAGCATTCGATTTAGTTGACAATAGTCAAACTAATTTTATTTAAAGAAATGGCGTGTCGTCTATTTCCGGTGTAGCAAACGTAGTACATAGGGCGACATCTAGATGTCATCTACCTCGCCCTATTCACTATGCTTTTTTATAGGAGCTTTTCAAAGCTTTGCTTTGGTGTCGGAACACAACATTGAAAGTTTCTGGATCCACAACATTGAAAGTTTCTGGAACACAACATTGCAAGTTGATAAAAGCGTTGTAAAATCGTTAAAAAATAAAAAATAAAACTGGAATGATTAATTAACTTCTTAGAAACTGTTAGTCCTATCGGAAAGCGATGTATATACGATTTGTGGAGAATTTTATTAGCTTTCATTTTTCGTATTTTAAATTAAGATCGTTAAATTGGTTCGCAAGATATACGTGATTAAAAGGAACCAATATTCGCTTTAAGCTGAATATCGATAAATTGCAAATATCTTGAAAATGTATCCATAAAAAAAAAAAATTAACTCGATTTGCGGAATCACAGAGCAAGATAGAAATTGGGCATCCATAGAACACTTTTCCAGTAAACAAGTGTAATTATTCAACACGATTTCTATAGGATTCGATCTGCTGTGATAAAACAATTTTCGGATGGGAGAAACCGGTGAATGTAAGCTAAAATCTCTTTGCTTCATCCATACTGACAAGTGTCCTCTCAAAGCGAAATATGGCATATAAACAACACTAAGGTAAAAAGTTAAATAAGTAAGCATCAACTATGTACTACAGTTAGCTCTTGAAGCAGCCTTCAAGTGAAGTCATCAATATTAGGCATTGCAAAATTTACAAAGTTAGCTGCTTGCAAAATTCCTAAATAGAATGCCAACGCTTTACTTTAAATCATACTTATATACGCAAACACATACATGCATGGCAAGTAAGTATACACAATGCATTAATTACGAAAATTTGTTTACATTCACACTGAGTCACTCAGTCATTCAGTAACAGAGTCGCAGAGTCAGTCAAGCACGAATGTGGGCAAAGCCAGCAGGAAGTTGAGCACTAGCGACAAGAAGAAAGGCAGTGAAGCATTTTTTGCAGGCTTTCACCTCTTTTCAGTCAATGAACTCATGCCCACTAGCACACACACACACACATACAGCCAAATGAATACACAATGAAATTGTATCAGCCGCTGCCCACACTACAACAGAGAAACTTTCACTTACTCCTTTGCTGTGGCTGCTTTTGCTATCGCTTACTACCAGCGTGCAGGCAAAAAAAAAACACAAAACTTCACCAGTCCTTGCTAGAAGGTATCGCACTATCCTTTGGTTTGTTTTCGTTTCTTTGTTTTTTTTTTCACTTTTTATTTTCTCCACATTTTGCTTTGGAATGACATTTCAGTTTTGCAGTCGCTTACTGAATACACTTGTGCCACCTTCTTACTCGCCTATACAGCACTTTCCATGGCGTACACCGTTGCGGCGTACCACACAACCTACCCACATGGCGCACTTCCCCCGTTGCAAGGAGTGGAGGCGTTTAGTGAATATGTTTGTGATTATATCCTTGTATGTATTCACGTTGTATTTATAATGTACACGTGCATATGTATGTGCATATAAATGTGTGTAACGATGATTTATCCTTTAAATAACAACAACCACTTTGAACTTTAATGCAAGTTGGCAATTTAAGGAGCATAGAATAGAGCGAAGAGTCGAAGGCGCGCGCGTTTCTCCTTTTGCGAAATAACTGTGGAACTTTCTACTGTTTAGTACTTTCCTTGTTCGTTCCTTATCGGCTACTGATTGATACCAGCAACAGCCGGGCTATTTTATATGCACCAATTGGTGGAGCTCATTCATCATAGTGCTACTCGCTTCCAACAACTCTCTCTCTCTCTGAACTAACAGTCTTACTGCTAAGAGAATTCAACAGCTGTGGGCATGTGTCCAAATCTCTCTTTTTATGGTGAATTCGCAGAAGGACTGACGACATACAGGCTTAAAGTAAGGTACATATTTAGCTGTAAAGAAATGTTTGAATAGATGCAGCGAAATATCAACTGAGTCTTCCTGAAAGTTCAAGACTCGAAGTTTTATTTAGGGTTTTTTTTTTTTTCTACTACTACTACTACTACTACAGTAACAAAAAATTAAATAATATGGAATGAAATAGGATGAAATGAAATCCAATAAAATCAAATATATGGACAGAAAACATAATAAAAATCAAATAAAATAAAAACCTTTTATTCTATCATCCAAATTCATATTTCGACGGCTGAGTGTAAATTCAACATATCTCGGCAGCCGGTTCGAAAACTCTTTCTCTCAACAAATTTAGCAAGCACACCCTATTTTAGAATTAAACTGAAGAACCCCATATCTCAGCAAATGGTTCAAGAAACTGTAATTATATATTTTTGTTTTTTTTTTATCCCAATTTTGTGTTTGCGCTCTCGCTGCTGGTTGAAGAAAAAAAGGATTTGCGTCTGGGCTACACTGGAGAAGTTAAACTTACGCTGCAGGTCATGTTTGTCACATAACCAATATACAATGCATCTGCTTTTGCTTAATGTTATATCTTTTGCCTTTTATCTATCAGATCCCTTACTCTACCTTGTTCATTCTAATTACATTTATGTTATTCTGTTTTCCTTTATCTTTGTACTCTATCGATAAAAAATCAATAGTAACATCCATCAAAATATCGATAACAAAACCAATAAAATTATCGATAACAAAATCGATAAAAATATCGATACTAAAATCAATAAAAACACCGATAGCAAAATCGATAACCAAAACCGATAAAGATATCGATAACGACACCGATAAAAATATCGATAACAAAATCGATAACAAATTCGATAACAAAATCGATAACAAATTCGATTTGTCTTTGCTTTTACTTTTATATTTATCATTTTCTTCATCTACATATTCCCCTTCATCTTTGCCTTTATTTTAACCTTTATCCTTTTCTTTATTTATATATGTAAGTACTAACCTTTACTTTGATTCTTGTATTGGTCTTTTTCTAAGTGTTACCACTATCATATGCTTACACTCAAGAAGCACTTGTTTCAACCATTTGCGTGTGCAACTTCCATGTGCAATTTCCGTCGAATTTGCCAGTTTACTCCTAACCAACCAACCGCCGCTAAAGAAGTTCAAAAATATTTTCATTGCCTGGTAGTAAGTCCCAGGAATTGATTAAAGCAAAAAATCGTCATCATTTTTTTTTTTTTTATTTACTTGATCGCACTGTAGATCGAATTGTGCGATATTATAAATATATATATTATTATAACGGACTTGTGAAGTGCGCCACCTTCTATACATAAAACGTGCTATACATTTGGCCATTATTTTTAATTGTTTGATTATTTTTAATTATTTGATTGTTTTTAATTACTTGATTATTTCTAATTATATGATTATTTATAATTATTTTTCTAAATAGACCAAACTGTGTTTGGCAGGCAAATTTTTATATGTTAGTATTAAATAACTGAAACAAAATTAACTGTACGAATAAATACTTGTACTGTAGTTTAGAAGTGGAACATAATTTCTTACAGACATTGTCAACTGTCTTTGCTAGTCATTCATACTCTGAGAAAGAATTTTGTAGAGGATACATTGGAGCAGATCTTATATGTAGAAATACATAGGTTTGCGTATTGATCGCGTTTTCAAACCCATAACGTGTGACCCTCGTACGTTTTGTATGGCAAGTCCCATATATATATCGTTATTTAAAGGTCAAAATCGCGTATCAAGATAAAAATACATTTTGGAGTAAGAAATTTACTTAATAGATATCGAGATCCATTTTTTTTTTCTAAAATATTTTTTTAAAGCTATCTGAATCTTGAACGCTATAAAAAGTATATGCATTCCGGGCAAAGATCGATCAACCTGGTAGGTACTGTGCTTTTTACAAGCTTTTATTTAACTTCACTTGTATGTATGTATGTATGTATGTATGTATGTCCTGGAACTTTGCAGTCAATATTTAACAAACTTCCCGATGAGCTACAGACTTGAAACTTCAAACTTAGCTCAGAACTCGAGGACAATACAATTTAAAAGATGTTTTAATCCGCTAGGTGGCGCAGGAGTCGAGATATTTGTAAAACCCGCATTTATNCTAAGCAAAATATACTGTATTCAAATAAAAACGAATTCTAAAACTAATCTTTTGAATAGAGTTTATCAAATATTTTTGCTGCTTTTCATTGACGTTAAGTTTTGTGGTACCTTTGCAGCCGAGTCCATGAGAAAAGCTCCGCTTCGCTTTGTTCCGCCTTGCTGGCGTCGCTCGTTTTTCTGTGTGAACGCGCCCTAAGAAATTTTAAAGTTTCACTCATCTCGGAACCGCTTCGCTCGGTTCAACTCCGTTTCCTGTGTGAACGTACCCTAATGAATACTCGATTGTACGAAATGAAGACTTATTAGTTCGAGATCACGGCTCTAACGATTTTGATGAAACCCTGTATACAGACAATATTTGCATCTTAAGGTTAACTATAGATAGGTATTATATCCGAGAATACTCGTATTCGAAATCGGTTACAAATTTTAAAAAGAAACATCCTAATATGCGTATCAAATGAAATATTTTGGAATAAATTGGCCACCTCTTTTAAATCGCACATTTATTTAGTTTTTTTGTGTTAGAAAATAAACATACCACACTGAGAAAATAATCAACCAAAAATTGGCTAGTAGTACCAAACGTGATTTTTGGTTAATATTAACAGTGCCTTGGTTGATGTTTTCAGCAATGATTTGATAATAGTGACCACACTTTTGTTTACGTTAACCAAACTTTCAGTTGTAAGAATTTTTCGTTTGAATACACTAATGTTCTGCTCTTCACAGATGCTTCTTCATAAATGCGGAGATACAAAACAAAAACTTGCATTTACTTTTTAACAAGTTGCCTCTGACGTGATGGGAAACCGCACCTTCTGAATTTTAGCAAATAACAGCAAGCATCTCTGCACACTCAGCTACAGTCGCTTTATAAATGTGCCTTCCTATTCCTATTCAACTTGAATCAAGTTTCTTCATAGTTTGATTGGGTTCTGCACTTCACGGAAGCTTTTTTGTAATTAAGAAAAATCAAAAACAGAAAATAATAAAAAGTATGTGTCACGCTGCCGGCATTCGTACTCTCGAACCTGCTGGAAGCCAACAAATAATAGCAAGCACCTCCGCATGTTCGGCCGCTGCCATACATATGAATTTATTCTCAAATGTTCAACTTGAATCACATTTCTTATAGCCCAGCTATGCATACTTAGCGTTGCTTGAGAGTTGTCACATAAGGTTGCCACTTATTTTCGATTATACAAAATTTAAATAAAACAACGCAGTATGGATATAAAATGAAAGGCATTTTTGAAAACGTTCATCAAAAAAGATTTCCAATAATAAGCTGCCGATTGAAAGATATTGATCTTCAACCGCTATGTACGATTTATACGAAAAGTTGTTTTTTTTCCACATATGAAGTAGGTGCATGGAAAACTTCATAGGCTTTGCGGGCAGTTCTAAATATTTTTTTTACAAAAAAGTACGAGTATTCTGTTCTCTATTTAGAAAAATCTTAAGGCGAGAATTTTAAGTAAGCTAGAATATTGGCAATATAATTAGTTAATCAAATTACTTTTTTGGAACTCTTTCGTTTTCCTTTTATTTCACTGAAAACTGAGGGCATTGATAATATTTTTTCGTCGACATACTTTGTATAGAAAGAGGTATCGGTTTAGTTCTGTATATGTACGTTTATATATCGTAATGTTTAATAATAAATTTCATTAATAATACATATAGTATGTGTATATGCTTGTACATATTCATACATACATTTATATTGTTTTCTTTCTATTTCCATAAACCACCATGTGTACAAACACAAACGCATAAATGTGCGCCAATCAAGCATTTTCTGCAGCAGGCATACACCACTCAACAAATACATAAGTTTTCGCTCCACTGTCACGTTCGTGTCCTCCATCCTTTGTAATTAAACCAGCCACAATTGAGTTCAATTGCACACCTGAGGCCCCGGCGTAGTAGTTAAAATAATAATAATTAAGTTGTAAAGAAGCCAGAAACAAAAAGAGCAATAAAGTAATAAAAGTATAGACAAAGGCAAGGCCTCTGCAGCGCCATCAACGGGTTGTTTATTGTTTACTCTACTTAGTGGCATTGTCATCGACGCCATCGCCATGAATTTGACTTTGATGTACGCTTCAGGGCTCGCCTTAGTGTGGACAATTATGTACTGTTGTTTTTAATCTGCT